TGATGCGATATGCGACCATCGTCTGAAAACCAGGTAGACGAATGTCTCATGGTGTGTTGGGAGTGCGTGTTGCAAATGATTACTCTGTCAGTAGAGGCCTGACGATTTGGGAGGTTTCCATTCTCACACCGTTGACCTTGCCGTGGTTTTCCTGGGCCATGGCGAGTGGGCTCATCCGCGAGGCCTGTTGGTGCATCCTAGTCATCTGTGTTGATAGTCTTGTCGTTATATAAATACAAATATAAGAAGATTAGATTTCTACATGAGACGGTTTTAGCGTGCAGTTGGAACTTTGACAACTTTGAAAACCACGAAAGCATCGTGGCAATGTACATCCACCGAGCTCCAATTGAGACTCTATCCAGGGATGAACGATTGTGAGTCAAACACAATAACCACAAGTCTAGCCGGGCCGCGTCTCACTCAAAGAGAAACTCAGTCGATCAGTCTTTCTATCACTCACTCACCTACTCGTTCATTCATCAACTCACCCACTGACTCAATCAATCAATCACACACTCGATCACTCATTCACTCACTCACGCAATCACACACTCGATCACCCATTCACTCACTCACATGTACAATCAATCAAAAATACACCCAATCAATCCCTCACAAGCTTACGCACCAACTTACTCTCTCACTCATTCACGCAGGTACCTACCCATGAAATTGCTCACTCAATCACTCAATCACGCCGAGAACCACACATTCACTCAATGTACCACTCACTCAACTGAAGCGGTCACTCACTCCCTCTCCCAATCCTACACTCATCCTTTCATACAGAAATCCTTTTTTCACTTGCACAATCAACCACTTATTCAGACCGTCTGGAAAATTATCACAATAAAATTCATACAGTCACTCAGTCAATTCTACACTCAATAACTCATTCAATCCATCAATCAACCATTAATTCCATCTTTCAAGCAATCAGTCCTTAACTCGCTCACTCACTGAATCACTAACCCATTCACTCATTCACTCACTTATTTCTCACTCAGCCAAAGAATCAATCAATCACTCACTTACTCCCTCACATAATGACCCACTCAATACCTTGCTCATTTGATCAACCACTCGCATTTATTCTCCCTTTCACTCGCTCAATTACACACTCACTCAATTACTCACGCACTGGCTCAACCAATCATTACCTCACCCATTTAATCAATCAACCAACCACTCACTGACACGCTCATTCGTTCGAACGCTCACTCACCGATTCGATCCTTCATTCAGCGACAAATTCTCTCAAAAAATCATCCACTCATAAATCACTTATTCATTCATGAACACATCCAAGAAGTTACCCAAACACTCGATCACTCACTCACTCACTCATTCACTAACTCAACCAATAAATCGACCAACCACTAAGTCACTCATTCAATAAATAAATAAAACGCATATTCTGAACCTCACTCACTCACTCAATCATAGTATAACTCACTTACTCATTCACCCACGCATTCATTCACTCACGCAGTCACTCCATCATACTTTCATTCATTCATTCATTCATGAAAGCACCCAATCATTCAACGAATCATCTAATCATTCAAAGAAAAACGCATTCAAACAGTCAGTCAAAATTGACAATCTCTATCCTTCACTCAGTTAGCACAGTTTCAACCATGGTCAAGTCAACAAGCGGACCGTTGGTTGCCGGGTTCCGGCAATCGAGGAAAGTAAAATCCACCAGTTGGTTAACATTTTTGGCTACAGCGAATGCTTCAGTTTCACGACCCGTGGTTGAAGTGTCCGACGAGTACAACAGCAAGATCTCATTTTGAACGTTTAAATGTACATGAATTGCAATTGGGCATTTTAGGTCTGTTGAAGACACGGTCTCAATGTCTGAAGATATTATGTGAGAAGTGAAAGGGTTATTGCTGGTGGGTCGGCGGGAGGGCGGGTAACAGTCCAAAAAAATGCGTAAATGAAGGGGACGAATTTACAACCACATGAATTGAAAGTTCCGGCTAGAGGAACCAAAATGCGAAATTTCAGAGGATGCGGCCGATTGATGAATCAAGACGCAGACACAAGTTTAGGAAAGAAGCAGTAATGAAGTGAGTAAATGGGAAATTGGATGTAACCAGCGTCAGATGAGAGAGGAATTTGGGTTCCAATCAGAAAGACGGCATTTAAGGAGGAAGACTGAAGAAAGCGGCTCACATAGTCAACATCTCGATTCAAGCCACAAATGTTAGTAAGGGCAGTGCGAGCTCCATGTAAATTCTATGAGTGAGTGTGCGTACTTGAACGAAAACGATTATCTATGTAATTTGGGAAGTTCACAAATGATGAGAGAACTGGCAACCTAATTCGGAGACTTGGAAGGGAGAACCACTTACTCACTCACACAATCACACAATGTTTCGCTCACTTACTCAACCACTCACTCTCTATCTCCATACTTCACTCATTCATTCAGACATTCACTCGCTCTACAAGTCACTCACCAACTCACGCATCCAAAACAAAAATCATACACTCAGTCAACCACTCAATCAAACTCACAATCGCTCATTCCCTCAATCAATCACTCACTCCTTTACTCACTCAGTTACTTATTCGCTCAATCATTCAATCACACAATCATACCATCACTCACTCACACAATCCGTCAAACACTCACCTACTCATACAATCATTCACTCAATTCGTCTCACACTTAGCCACTCAAACACACATTCAATCACTCATGCAAAACGTACCCACTCACGCACCCACTCATCCACTCACTGACTTGCTAACATTATCAGTCACGTTCAAACAAATCAACCTCAAAAATTGTGTGTGCGACCCCTTCAACCAGTAGCATCTCATGTGTCACACGAACATCGCCCATCTGAAACGCCAGCTGCTGCTTTCCCGCTACTCTCAGAGCCTCCCCTCCGACTGCACGCACTCGTATTTCGCATCGCCTCACCACAATTCCCTCAACGTGAGGTGTCACTGGTACCCCAGCCCCCGTATCTACAACTGCAATTTTACGTTCGCCTCCGATTATGATCTCAACCATAGGCAACCATTTCAACTTGAATGGGGATAAAGAAAAGCAAGACGAGAAGCGTCTTTCTGGACAGTATTGGGCAAAATGTCCTAGCTTGCCACAAAAAAACGCCTCTTTCGTGCTCTATGCGTCAATGCGTCATTGTTGCGTTGTGTTTTTCGGTTGAGTTTCAGTATTAACTGTGCGATTCCCCAGCTCATCTTATGCAACGTGGACTCCAAATCCGATTGCTCCAATCGAGAAACTGTCGCTTCTTCTAAGGCTGCACGAACAACCATGAACAAGCGTTCTGTATCATTCACGCAGCACGCAATTGCCATTCTCAATCTGCCTTGAAAATCCGGGGCCATGCTTTGAACGAAACGATCACGAACAAGGAGTGCTCTGGTTACGCCACTTGCCTTCGGCGGCCCGATCGATGGTTGGCGCAACAGGTACTGATAATGAACGAATGGATCTTGGGTGCTGTCATAACGAGTCGTGTTGAATCGGTCCATCGCTTTTCGGCGATCACCTTCCTGTGTGAACTCCGTCACCAGCTCCGCACGGACCTCTCGATAAGTGGGGCTTGTTTTTCCTCCCATCTTCAGATTATACACCGCCTTGGCACGCCCAGCCAGCAATGCCCCAAGCGCCGCCAACAAAGGTGTGTCTCCTTTTACTCATTTGCATGCCGCTATCCTTTCAAAATCTGTGATCCATTCATCGGCATCCCTATCCGCGAACGCGACAGGCCAGGGAAACCTCATCACGTGAGCGTGGTCACGGCACCAACGTAACGAGGACGACAACCCGCGGCAGAATACTTGTATTCACACGGTCACACAAGTCAAGTCACGGAACACATGCAGTCGTTTATATAGGCCTTTTTCCTGACTGCTCGGCGCCAAGATTGCTATTGCCGCTGCCTGAGCGCTTTGGCTGCGTTCTGTTTAGTTGCCTGTGGCCAATGGCTTGCTTCTATTGACCATCATTTCCCTTCGGTTGGTCCGACTGCCTCAGTTGATGGCTCGAGCGGCAGCCCTTCATTGCTCCCGAAACTCTCTTCCCGAAATTTCTTTGCAGCATCATTCATTCTGATATCAATCATCCTCTGCTTCGACTGTACTGCATTCCATGGATTCTATCCCTCTTCTTGGCTTGTCTAAAACATTTCCTTTCTCTTGGACCGCCCTGATATTTCAGTTTGTTTCTCATGCTTCGCGCGGAGTTGATTTATGTTTTGCGACAGAAACTTCCTCACATCAACTTACCTTCTGCTGCACGAAGCTCAATTCTATCCTGCACTTGAATATCGCAGTCACGTGTGGGGTGGTGCTTTGTCTCCCACCCCACTTGCTTATCTTGATTGGGGTAAACGAAAAGCCATCCGGCTGATCAACGACCCTTCTTTAACTTAGAGTTTGCAGTCGCTAACCGATTCTCGGGTGGCTCCACGTTTTTCCTCTTATACTGGTATTGCTTTGGATTTGTTAGTCTGAGCTCGCTTTGGCAGTTCTTCTCCCCAGAACATTTTCCCGATCATCAAGTAGCAGGGTAACTAGTCATTCTTATAAAATTTCTGACACGAGGTGTTCTAATTCAATCTTTCCAACTTCTGTTTTCCCCAGACCGTCACCTTAAGATGCACCACTTTTTTCTGTCTTCCTACCTTCACACAGCCTTTGCTGTTATTCACGTTTCAGCCCCACAAATGTCAACGATTTCCGCAACCTCTCTCTCACCCAAGAAATGCACCGCATTCGTTAAGGGGTCGTTGTTTCATACAAAACTGCCAGCTAAATCTCCAAAACGGATGTCGACAACCAACAGGTTAAAATAACAAGGGTTTTCAAAGCTACCAGACAATTGTATTATTTCCCTTAAGATGGGTAAATGTGAATACTAAGGTTGAGATTTGTAACTCATTTGGTTCCATATTGAAGAATGTATTCAGCTTTGGATAAACCGAAGAAAATCATTGAAAGAATAACTAAAGTGATGGAAGAATCGTACAGAGTGAAATCAACTCGCTCCATGTGGAACCCTTGTTTTCTGTTATCGTGCTATCCGAGACTGTCGTCTGCAAAAGCGTTACTAAAATGCAGAAAAATAATAGTGTAATCCAGTGAAATAAACATGCCATATTCGTTAGAGATGAGAAAACCTGGAGTTCAACGAATATTTTGCAATAAAACATCTGTTGAGACCGAACATCAACTTCCGATGTTGGCCGATGAACTATGTAAAAGAGATGAGTCCAAGTATGTTTAACAAGCTGACTCACCCTCTTCGGGGTTGTTAGGTATTGAGGTGGTTTGATTATCTTCATCGGAGCAGGGAATTCTAATTTCTCCATCTAAGTTGAAGAAGAAGTTCAAAGTATTTATTTGCATTAATCATTGTTGTTGAGCACATTGTACATCTTTCTATCTTCAGAACGATCAGACTGTTTCTCATAATTTGGGGAATTACGAGTAATTCAACAACCATTATTACCAAAATTCTAACAAGACGTACCCTGATTTTTTAAAATTTCAGTCGCACTTTGACTGGTTTTGCTATCTGCTAAAGCAAATTTGGAGGCAGGTGTAGAAACAATTGAATAACGCGTTATGAATTTGAAATGGAAAATTAGTGGACATAAGATATCACATTTGTTCACCTAGGTCACTTGACTGACACTGAATTTGCAGCAGATGTCTTTCTTCTATCTCTAAAAGATTGTGCAGAATAAAGTGTACACATGATGTTGACTAATTCTCGTTATGTTTTGGATACCATTGACTTGCAAGCGGGCAACGGCAGAACGTGTATTCATTGACTATTTGGTAAATGCTTTTTGGGATCGATTTGTGTCAAAATATCATATACTTTTTCTCCTTGTACGGGGACTTTTAAAATAGCACACTTATTTGATTATGATATTGTAAAATACGAGGGGAAACGCTAGCAGGATTGCTTTCTTATTCGAATTCGTCGGTTAATTTCCCCAAAGAACATCGTGTGTATGGCGTTATTCACACTTTCCACTACTTGGCAGGTATTCTCATATCCAAAAATAATAAAACCACGCTGTTCACTAACTTCGCTGAACATATAACGAATCCTCATTGTGCTCTTGATTGTCCTGATACGTAAACTGCCACATTTTTTAGGCATAATATTGCTTTTCACCAAAAATGGTGTCATTGAATGCACATGCCATGTTTTGTCGATGTCTCTATTCATGAAAGTCATGAGAGCTAACAAATGTACTTCATTGTACGAACACGTTTTACTCACTGGAGGATGTAGTTTGCTCGAGTTTGCCAGTACATTCCGTGAAAAGGTCCTGAACATTTTTTTCTGTATTTCTTTCCTTGGATTCGTTCACCCATATGTTCACATAAACATTGCGTTCTTCGAAACCCAAAAACCAGTATGGGAACGATTGACCGTACGGCATTATTTTACTTAGCTCGTTCTTAAAACACCGTTGCATCTGTAATGTATTGATGTAGTTGGAAGAAAACGGTACTCCAGATTTTTCCTAAGCACTTTGTGCTTGTTGATTTCAAATTCAGTCCATCGTCACGCATTCAGCAACTTCTACTGAATTGTGTGCACCGAATAGAGTTTTTTCATAAGTACCCGTCGGTCACTACTAACAAAGCACAATAAACTCTAAAGAATGTTCGAAAAACGAGCAATTCATTTCTAGTGAAATATGTTCTAGGCAGATACTTACCTACTGCATCGCGTTTTCTTGCAGCTCCTGAGGATAAAACAATAATGAGTAATATACCTGCCTAATTCTATTTTTCAATTTTCATAGCATATTGCAATTACAGTGCAATTGCAATCCTACCGCCTTATTCTCAGAAATTTTGCGCAGTATACTGTTTATGGCTACCACATTCATGACATTTAGTCAAGCATTTGGACATACAATTTACACCCAGTTTGGTACATCACATTACCTGGGTCACTTGGATCAACGAAAAACATGACCTCATTTTGGGCTTCGTTACTTTTGGTTATGATAACTTCCGAGAATCGCGTGCCAAATAACTTGAATTGCTCTTGAATCAACTGATTGAAATTTGTTGCCGAAGCAGATAAACATTCTTCACGAAAATCCGTGCCCATTTCTTTAAGGAAGAAAAACACTTTGATTGTTCCAGTCCAGTTCACTTGAATTTCCACTTGACATCCAATATAACCGATCATCCAGTGCCAGTCCATTTTCCAAATAGCCTCGGTAATCTGAAATGTGAAACTTCACAGATGGTCGTGTTTTTCATCAAGGTAATGATTTCGTTTAAAGGAAGGCTTACAGATCTGCAATTTGGTATGAAATAATCCATTTCATTATCTGGGTCGTGTTGGAAGAGAAAACAGATTTTACGATATTGTCAGGTACCTGAGAGGATGGGGTGGGTGGGTCATTTTGATAATAGAAAAAGATTGACAGAAAAGTAATGGTAAAATATGGCTACTCGTAGTGATAACCTCACCCAGTATATGACCGTTCAAGGTGTCTGTAACAACATAAAAATGGTGATGTCATTTTCTGTTCGACACGGATTAGAAGTAAGAATCAATAATGAAATCATACTCACATATGTCCTCTGCATACTTCGTCATGCTCAAATATTCAAGGTAAACGATAAGCCATACACCAAATGAAGATCTCATAGTAGAATACAATTCCTGACCCACGAGAGAAAACTCGCAGTGTTCAGACGGCACAAACTACCTTGTGTATGCAATTGGTAACCTTCTTATAAGCACCATAATTCAATTTAACAGTACAGACACACCAGCCGACTAATCTGTCAACTGTTGCAACGGCTGTTGTCCATTACCGCTTACCATTTGACAGTAAAGACACACGAACCGACTAGTCTATCCACTGCTGTAACAGATGTTATCGGTTTACGCCTACCAGAATAGCAGAAAGTCAGACGAATCATGGTGCGCAAACTGACCTGGTTGGAAGCACGTTCAACATTCCATCGAAAACGTGTCTGAATAATCATTTGGAATCAGTGCTCTTGCACCCTTTGTTTACAAAATGGAAAGCAGAAAATACCTGACATCAATAACATTAGTGGAGGAATTCTCCGAAAGTAGTCGAACCGTGTGATGAACTGTCATGAACTTGAATAAAGAAACTACTTCAAGCAAATACGAGAATTACGTGAGATGAATGTGTTGCTTCTTTCTCCGTTTTGGCGAGTAGCATTTTATTATAATTTACATACTGAGTAAGAAATTATCAATAAATAAAAAATCAATACTGATACCATTCACTTATTGTCATCCCTAACCTTATATTTTCTGAGCTCGTCAAGCATTTTAGGTGGGCCGCGTCTTTTTTTATCTTCATAACTTCTATTTCCGAAACTCCAACAGAGTGTTTCATAGTGCAGTGCTCAAGCCCCTGGAATATTATCGGACCTAATATAATCAAAACCGATAGCTACTGTCATCATCCAGGCATTAGTTTGGCTTTGACTATCATACAGCATAGTTTTAGTTAGTCCAGTCAATTCAGTGAAACCCCTCGGTATCTGAAAATTATCAGGCTCATTATGATTCAACTTTTGACCATTACTACTGTAACGAGCATACCTTTGCTTTGGAAACACCTACTGGAGGACCATTATAAATCACAGCGTATCATTTATTTGCTCTCTAAAGATTAACCATGTTGATTACTATCGTTCACGTTAAGGGTTAACCTGCAACTAGCATGTATTTTTCAGATCCGTGGCCCTCATCTCGCAACCACATCGGATTTTACCTGCAAAACTCCGGCGGAATCAATTATCTTCAGTGCAAGCCATGGATTCAGATGTAAGAAATCGGGTAAGGATCAAGTAAACGAAATACTAGGTCTCACTCACCTCAGAAAAGTGTTTGTTTCTTGAACAAGATTGAACTGGCATGATCAATGCTAATAAGATACCAAATTTCGTTTGAACGACGCTATATGGGAGTTTGTTGGTTGATAAACAGTGAAGTTTCTTGATACCCGATCTCTTCCAACATCCACAAACTAAACATATTGGACAAGACTCCATGACAAAGTGGAATACGAGCCACTGTAGTAATGATCACAATTTTAACTGAGGTGAAACTTTGAGGAAGAACTCATGCGCACAATTTGACAAATGCATCAATGGACTACTTCGACCGTGATAACCCACTTGCCCAACAAACAACACCACCAAAGGCTATCCGCTTCTTCATAGAATGACTTGGATTAAACAGTGGTCGTAAAGAACATGAATCTGTGTTTGGTTGTACCTACACGAATAAGACCAGAATTAGCTGTAACATCCCCAAACATATATGGCCACGCCCATCTCTATCGGGGTAAGTATTACTTCTCGCTCGGTTTATTCTTCTCGTCTTCACAGGTCGTGTACGTACAAACCCCACGAAAGAAAAGCGCAATCGGCATATTACATTTTTGACAACCCTGGTAACGGGACCGAGTAAAATGTGGGGTCTGTTTTGTTGAGTGATTATGAGGCATTTTGTGGACACCAGTGATCGACACTCATCGTCATCTCACTACAGTAGTATAAATGGTCTTTCCAAAAGTCAGTCAATCACGATGTTCTGCGGAAAACTTGTATCATCATGCAACCCTGCTATTCCGGATGGCAAGTATATACCGAAACCAGAGCACGGAATTTCGGGGTTGATGACCGCAAGACGAAATGAACGAGTTAGATTATTTATTTCCTCATCCAACAAATGCCTATTTCAGGCGACATCTTCTGGTTAAACAATGGTGACAGTTTTCACTGAATACTGTGATTTTCTATTAGAAGACAAATTATGTGAAGCACAATAGGAAGGAAAAAACTCTGTGGTATATTGGATTTAGTGAACAATAAGTTTGAGTGAAGCATTCCCCTGAATTTCACTCATTGAAGTATTTCAGGCGAGAACGGTTTAGGCAAAACAAACAAAGAATTTCACGCTACTGATATGTAGTAGGCAGAGGCTGTTCATGTGGTAAAATTGCAACCGAATTAATGAGGGCTCTCATGAAAGCACTGAAGATATATCTCAGACAGCCAGATGAATTCAGACGACTTGTATATTGATCCCCAAATGGCTCTCAATTTCCGATCCTATCTGATAAAACCAATATATTTGTTTGAAATAAACCTTTGCTGGTTTACATTGTAGGTATTTACCAAAGTAACTTCCTCCGGGTTGAGACAAACATGGAATAGGGAGAAAGCGTTTTCGGGACCACGGTGGTAAAACATGCATCATCCTGCAATCTAGACCTCGAAGTTTCGGGTTAAATTCCGGTCACCACCAGTCCCTTACTATGTCCGTAGCTACTGACTAAAAGCCTTCTCTTTCCACGAATATTGCACATTTCTGTGTAATAAATAAGCAGATACAAGTGATTATTCATACGCCTGAATCAATTCGTATAGATAGAGGGATTCATTCTTTTCATAAATCCATCGAGCTAGACAGGTGCGATTGTAGATTCAGTTATGGAATCTTCATAAGCAACCTGAATGTCTAATATTACCAACGAAACTGTTTTTCAGAGCCTGAAGTGCTCTTTGAAAATGGTATTTGCCGTACCCGTCTTGCATGTTCGGTATTATTTTTGTAAATTTACAAAACTTGCTGAAAGTCCTAAATCGTATAGACAAGCAGGCCGGAACGGTCATTTTTAGTAGGGAAGATGATATTAAATAGATGACTACAGTGATTTAGAAAAAAATTGGATTTTACCAATAACAGGGGTGAAAAATAAATATTCAGGTGGCTAACATAAGGAATTACCAGTCCATTTTCTTTAAAACGGTTCCTAATTCCTATGACAAAATATCAGCTTTCCATTCGTTCCTATTACAAAAATCTTCATGCACGCACCAGCGACATGCAGCAATTCAACCATTCCTCATCTGGCAAGTGGTTCACACAATCCAGCTTCTACGCTGTCAAACCTAACACAGGATTTGGAATAGCACAACTGATTACTACCTAGTAATTCTGTGCTTTATTTCGTTTTTCGTTGTAGCATTTCTGCGTTTTTGAAGACGGGTAAATAATTATGTGAAGTCTGAATGTTCACCCCTCGTGTTGCATGAAGCAATTATTCGACTTGATGATTTTCCAGAAAGATGTACAACTGAGTGTCCTAGCTGGTCCACTAGGAACCCATTGATATGTCCTAGCATTCAAAGTTTTAAATACAATCCTGAGACTTAACGCATAACGGTTATCACAATAATCAATGCTATGGAATAGAACCTATTTGGTTGCTGACCAGACAAAAACGGTTGGGAACCGTAGTAGTCAACTAAAATTCATTCGGCGTTGTTTCTTTGTTTGTTTGATTCTGTTTCTTCTGTGGTATTTGCTGTTGGAAATTTAATTACTCAGGGTTTAGATTTGGAATGTTCACACTAGCGTCCGCGTACATAGTTGGTTCGGGTCTATTATCAACCTGAATTTGATTCAAAAACTTTCTGTTTATTCTACAGTGCATTAAATGAAGTCAGTCCATCAGATGTTCCTCGGTAATTCCGAGTAGATTCCTGCTGACTAAATTCAATAAAGAATACTCTTCCGTGTATTAGTTACAAGCGTTGTTTTGCCGGCTATAATCATCTCCAAGCATAAATCTCCGCGTAATGGTTGATCTTCAGTTTGTTTTCATGTCTGACAAATGTCATTCCTCTCTTTATTAAATTTACACATGCTACGGCTATCGTTATTGAAAGCATTTGGTTTTTCTTTGTCCGTAGCTGTGGAGACATCATCCTTAACGGAATTTGTATACCATGTAATCAAAATTCAAAATAAAGTACCCAGTCGGATTTCCGTCGTTCGTCTACAACCGGACGAAATAGAATCTGCTGGTAGAATCCAATATTCCGTAAATGAGAATGCCGTTGAGAAGAGCGTAGTGATGATTGATCCAGACAACGGAGAGTTGAAATTTTCCACTATGC